CACTAGTTAACAATGACAAAGTGGTTTTTAAAGTTAGAAAGAAGTGACTTTGGTTCCGGTGCCCTAAGGCCTTTCTCTCCTGTTGTAATGAATCACAGTCACAAAGCCATCGAGCCCTATAAACAACTGTCAGAAACAGCCAGTTCCACCCTGTGAAATGCTCTGCTCTGTCCTCCTTACACTACCTTTACCGTAACAGTGACACAGTGTGAAAATTACCAATTCAAAATATGTTGTACATAACTTATCTGAAATCGCCTAATGGGCCAATATTCAAATATACAATCTTGGTCCTGTAAGTCACCAAGATGACTCTTAAAGGTTAAAAAGTAAAAAATAATAAAATAAATCATGATTTGAATCTTCTATCGATTTGACAAATGATTTCAGGGACATGAACCAGAAAAAAAAATATTCTAGAATGGAAGACTCCTTTCTTTTCTCATTTAGAGAATAATACGATATTAAGATAACACTTATTTCTGTATAATGACTTTAATTACAGTCAGAATGTACAATTAGGTAGTAATATCAATTGTTCCCAAATTAATGAAGAATTTATTTAAAAGAGAAACGGGGAACCACAATGATCTAACATTAGTAACCATCAGTACTCACAGTTTTCGAATCTAACAAGAGCTAGTGCCAATCAGATAAATAACTTGTATTTAGATAGCCCAGGTAGCAGTTCACTGGAGAAATTTTGGGGGGAAAACATTTATTCCAATGCCAAGTCACACTTACACTTTGAACAAGTAGCAAAACATGGGCATGCTTCTCAAATGGATTTCACAGCATCAGTGCAAAAGCCAGAGGGGATGGCTTCGTTTTTTAAGCCTCGGATTTGAAATACTCAGACTCCCTGCAACTACAGCGTTAAATCCTCTGCGGAAGCACAGCTTCAAATGCTATCAGGACAGACTCAACTCCTCATCCTTCTGAGGCTGAGAAATTGAAAGCCGTGAAGTTTAGAGGGAACGGAGGGAAGCCTGCCCCCTGCCTCACTCCACACAGGAAGGCTATTTGCAACATCGCTTAAGCTTCCACTGGAGACTGTCTCCTTGGTAAGACCTGAGAAGGCTGCTTTTGAAACATTCAGAAATTTCACCACCCTGCCATGGGCCATTTTACAAACATTTAAACCGAATTTTAGACAGCTTAGAGTAGACAGAAAACACTGGTTTCAATCCCTTTTAAGATAGTCAAGGAAATTCTAACTGCTTGCTTTAAAAGGCATTATAGGGAAGGGGGAGGCAGGGAATAACCAAGGAATTTACCGTATATGCATAAATGCATAATCCACGGACACAGACAATAGGGTAGTGAAGGCAGCAAGTTGGTGGAGGGGAACAATGGGAGGAAATGGGGGACATCTGTAATAACCTCAATAATAAAGATAAGTATTTTAAGAAGAAATTAAAAATAAATGCATTATAGGTATGTGGCCAACTCTTAATTCTTCCCGTGGGAATTTCTGAAACTCAACTTGATTCCTTTGGGCTGCTGTGTATGTTTCTGGGCTGCCTCCTCCCTGACATGAACTGATGGGTGCTTTGGTAAATTCCAATTAGACAACAGAAGTCCATTTCATGTGCATAGTCCTCTACCAGTCTCTCACAGTTCCTGAGTCATTCACAAAACTTTACAAGATAAGGAAAAAGACTTGTTTTACCCATTCTATAGGTGAGGAAAGTGTGGCTTATGACAGCTATACCAGTTAACCACAGCTAATGTGTTCTTGCCTACATTGTACACTCCAGGCCTTGAGATTCCCCTGAAGTATTGGTGGAAATGAGGAACTTCTATTGGGAACATAAACATTTTACTAAAGAAAAGTGTGTAATACATTCTTAAATCAAAATCATTCATAACTAATTCTATCGATTTCTCATCAATGTTACATATCTCTGTTATGTATAATTAGTGATTTAAAATAATATAAATTTGAAGAGAATTCTGGGGAAACTCCGGACCATTTTTTTAAAGGGCTACTAACTAACCAATGAACAGATCTGCCTTTTCATCTAGAATTCTCTCAAAATTAGGCATATGCATCCAATTATACGTAGGCCCAAGTGAAAACCCGAGAATGACATGAGGCCACTTCCAGGGCTAAAACTCACACTGCTCCCCAAGTTTTAGTCAAAGAACAATTAATCCCATAAGGAACTCAAATACCCAGACTAATTTAACATCTTTAAGACAGCTGTAGACTGGCTTTACGTTTAGGCAAACATAGTAGACACACTGGATATTTTAATAGATGCTAAAAAAAAGCATTGAAAAGGGTTGATCCCTTCAAGATGACTTATTACTTTATATACAAACTAGAGACCGGTACAGGGATTCATGCGCCAGTGTGGTCCCTCAGGTTGGCCCCTTGAAGAATGTGGGCCCGATCCTGTAGGCCAAATCAGCAGTCCGACATCCCCCAAGGGAGGTAATAGTGCATGAAGCAGCCGGCGGCCAGGGAGGAGTCTGAGCCCGGGTCCCGCTCACCCTGGCCTCACTGTTCCTGCCTCTGCCTGTGTGGTAGTGCTGTCACGGAGGCGGGAGGGGCTTGGGCTGCTGCAGCTGCACTCACCAGCCATGAGCCCTGTGTCTGGCATCCGTCAGTCAGCTGAGCCATGCTCACTGCTGCTGTAGGAGTGCACTGACCACCTGAGGGCAGCTCCTGCGTTGAGTGTCTGCCCCCTGGTGGTCAGTGTGCATCATAGCAAAGGATTGTTCAGTCATTCGGTCTTTAGGTCACTTAGGCTTTTATATATATAGATACCCTTGAGGAAGCTGACATATTAAGACCTTTACTCAAACACTGCTACTCTAGTACAATTTACCTATTTTCTTCTAACCAGCTGATGAGTTAAACTGTTCAATAGGAATTTTGATTCCAAATAAGGAGAGAATTTTGGAGAAAAGAGTGGGCTTAGTAGTATAAAAATTAATAATCAGAAATCTCATTAAAACGGAGTCCAGAGGCTCCAAGAAAGAACTCTCCTGCACATGACACCCAACACACACTACAGACCCCAAGAGGAAGAGATGCACCTTACATCTCTGAAAGAAAGTGGTACATCACTACTCAGCAGGAAGCCAAGATTCCTCCTAGTCAATGGGAGACTGCCAGAACTGAGCGAATGAGAAGCCAGTATACCTCAATTTTCCATATCCTCTAAGAGACTCTTGGTTTATAGGACCCCTGTCCCAGACCACCAAAATGGGTTCCTGTCCTTGGTTTTCCTGAACTTCAAAAGAGCAATCCTTTGTTGCTCCTGAATAAGCCCATTTTGCTAGAGGAATTTCTGGCCAATTGTTAAGGTCAATAGTAGGCCAACAAAGTCCAGGCCCTTTTTAGCCAGAAGAAATGCGGATGCTTTAAGAATCAGCAAGTGGCTACACAGAGCAGTGGGCGCTGATACTAACTTTTTATGTATTGTTTTACACAGTTGTTTGCGGAAATACTAAGGCTTAGTTCAGATGCTAATGACAATGAGTTCAAAGTACAATATGATTTGCTTGATTCCTTACCCTTTTTTGCCCCTCTTGTCAATTTCACTTGGCATTTCGTTTATCCTGATTAACCCAGCATAAATGACTTGTTTCTTCAAAATCCCATGGTGGAAATTTACAAAACTTCTAACTTTTTAATAGCACTGCCCTGCCTTGGATAGGCTGCATTATGCTACCGTATTTAAAGTGTGCATACTCTCTCATAATCCAGAGATTTTGTAAACCTCTCAACTCCCACCAAGATTTTATTAGTCTGGGTAGATTACAGATGCTCTTCAACATTATTTGATTTCGGGTCTTCCCTTGGCAACACAGGCAGGCATTCCAGAGCCTCAATAAAGGATGACTGGCTCATGCTTGCCCACCTGCCCAGACAACCGAACTTTCACAAAGATTAGCTCTATCGTACATTTAAAAATCTTCATTCCACCTTTTACCCGGAAAGGGATTAATTAAGGAAATCTCATTCAGAACGGAATCAGAAAGCCGGGAGAGGAAGGACTCCTACAGGTAGGTACCTTGCAAGGTTTAGCAGCAAAAAAGGAAGATTTCCTCTTTGCCTGGCAACAGTGAGCAATGTCAGGTGTTGCAGCCAATCAGCAGTGAACAATGTCAGGCGTGCCAGCCAATCAGCAGTGAGCAATGTCAGGTGTGCCAGCCAATCAGCAGAGAACAATGTCAGGTGTGCCAGCCAATCAGCAGGGAACAATGTCAGGTATGCCAGCCAATCAGCAGTGAGCAATGTCACATGTGCCAGCCAATCAGCAGTGAGCAATGTCACATGTGCCAGCCAATCAGCAGTGAGCAATGTCAGGTGTGCCAGCCAATCAGCAGTGAGAGACTTCAGGTGTGCCAGCCAATCAGCAGCCGCCTCGCGGGCACTCCCATCTCCCTCCGGAGGACTTGTTCAAAAGGAACTCCCTCCACGGCCTCTTCTCCCCGGAGGCGGCTCCCGGGTCTTGCTTCTCCGCCTCGGTCCTCGCTCAGTCCCTCGCTCAGTCCCTCTGCCCGAGGAGCGGTGCGGCCGGCGGGCTCTGCCCCTCTCTGACCGGGTCCCACAGGCAGGGCCTCGGGGGCCCGGGGGCGCCCTCTGCGCCTCCATCCCCTCCTGCCGGGCGGGTGTACCGGGTGGCGGGGCGGAAGCCAGCTGAGTCCGGCGGCAGCAGCCTGGCCTCACCGCCATCCACCGCCATCCGGCCCCCCAGGACCGTGTCTGCCGCAGCATCTCCGGAAGCGCAAGTTAAAGTCACACCGAAGCCCTGGGGCCCTGCAGCGGCTGCGTCCTGTCCCGGTCCGTTTGGCGGCGCCTTGCTTACCGCGGAGCGGACCAGGAAGCCGCCTGCTGCCCCAGCCCTCCCGCGGCAGATATAGGTGAGGATGAGGCGGGGCGGCTCTCGCGAGACTGCGGGAGCTCCACCCCTCCCGGAAGGAGCGCCGGCGGGAGGGCGGGGCCGGGCGTCACGTGGTCCTCGGGCGCCGCCGGTCCAGCCATGGCGCCGCCGTGGCTCCTGCTCTGCGCGCCGCTCCTGCTGGGCGCCGCCCTGGCGCGGGGCTCGCCGCCGCTCCCGCTGGTTCTCAACACCTGGCCCTTTGGGAACGCCACGGCGGCAGGTGCGGGGCGGCAGGGGCGGGGCGGCAGGGGCGGCAGGGGCGGGGCGGGCCCTTCCCGGCCCTGGTCTCCCTCCCCCGAGCTGCTGCCGCTGCCGCTGCTGCCGATGGCAGGACGGAGGTTACCCTCATCTGACTTCCTGGGGCAGAGCTGCTGCAGGATTTGGTGGACCCGGTGTGTGTGTCACAGCAGGGAGTGCATCCGGGAAAATGAGGCACAGGCCCCGGAGGAGCCGCCAGCCAGAGGAGAAAGGGAAGCGCAGGGGCCCAGGCAGGGACAGCTCTGATGGAGCGCAGAGCTCAGAGCGCACTGTCGGCAGCGTGGCCGGTAGTGATGCTTAGATTATTGACCCCAGGCAGCACCCACCCGTTAAGGAACTTTTTTTTTTTAATGAGTAAAGAAAGGGACCTTTGAAGATTTGTTTGTTTCTTTTTCAAAGCTGAAGGCATGGGCTCTGCCGCCAACATAGGTCCCAGTGACTCCTGGCTTGCTGCCTTCTTTCTGTGTGATCGCAATAAGTCACTTGACCTCTCTGGGTCTGTCCCTCCGGTTTAAAATGAGGCTGATAATTGTACAGTCCTTACCTGGGAAGCTGTGGTGAAGACTGAGTGAGTCAATCCACGTGGAGCCCACACCTTAATTCTGTGCTCTTGTGGTATTGTTACTGAGACTTGCTATGGCAGTAGCTTGTTGTTGTTTTTTTAATTTATTGATTAAGGTATTACATATGTGTCCCTATCTCCCCTCTTCCCCCAATCCCCTTCACTTCCCCTCCCTCCCGCCCTCACCCCCTGTTGTCTGTGTCCTTTGGTTAGGCTCACACGCATGCATTGCTCTCTCCTCCTTCCCCTCCCTCCCCTGCTAATGATCTAATGATACAGACATTTTTAAGGCTATGACTTAATGAATTTTCAAGGTACAGATCGTGTTTTTCACAGCTTCCGTCATAACTTCAAACTGAAGGAGAGGATATTTCTTTTCTCACACTCAGTAGTGATGTAAATATGTTTTAATAAGTGAGGGACAAAGCCCTCTTTTCATCAGTAGCCAAGATCTTTGAATTCTTCACAGTAAGAAGCTGCATTGATGACTTTGTACCACTGTGTGTATACATCACTGATTCCTTTGTAGCACTTGATACGCTAATTTAAAAATTTAGTTTAACTTAGAGTTAAATGTGAAAAACAACTTTAAAAATGGGATTTCCCAAATATGTCTGGTTTGCTGCCTCTGGACTGAAACAAACTCTGTCTGGTTTGCCGGGCAGCCTGGAGGACGCTGGCCTCCGGGGGCTCCGCGCTGGACGCTGTGGAGCGGGGCTGCGCGGTGTGCGAGAGCGAGCAGTGCGACGGCACTGTGGGCTTCGGGGGAAGCCCCGACGAGGTCGGGGAGACCACGCTGGATGCCATGATCATGGACGGGTGAGGACGCTCCCGGGCACACCTATCTGCTCCTGGGCTTCATGCACCAGGCTTCCACTGAGAGCAAGATGGATGGTTCTAGAAGCTTTGTCACCAGTGACAACCCCCAGCTTGTCTCATGGCCTCTCCAAACAAGGGGTTTTCCTCTCCATGAAAGCAGAGTCATAATGAGGGACACGCCACGTGGAGGAAGGCAGTCTGGAGCACAGGAGAGCCCCGAGCTGCAGTCTGTCCCTGGCCTGGCAAGCAGCCGTCCATACTGCTTCGGCTTGCCTGCCTGAAGCCCTAAAACGCCGTCCACAGCGGTGTGAGCAGCCAGGGAGACCAAGCGCTCATGGGAAATGGACTCAGTGTCCAGTGTGGGCATTTGGCTGAACTTCAGGGGTGTGCTGTGACTTCTGCATTCAGCTGGTGTTTATTCCACAGATCACGGCGGCTTAAGGAAAGCAGTGCTTTTGTGATCTGTGAATGTGGAAATGCTTAATAACTCACCGCATCGTTTTCTCTTGCAGCACTACCATGGATGTAGGCGCAGTGGGCGACCTCAGACGAATTAAAAATGCGATTGGCGTGGCACGGAAAGTCCTGGAACACACCACACACACGCTTCTGGCAGGAGAGTCAGGTAGGCTTTCACCGGACGGAAGCACCCAGCCTTCTGTCTGTGTTCACCGTGGAAAAAGGACTCAGTCTGAAGCAGGGGATAAAAGCTGACCAAAGTCCAAACTCAAGCTCGTTTACTTAACTCCTGTTTCATTCTGGATCTCGTTACTTCTGAATCCTCACTTTGTTCCCCTTTAAAGGGGGTTCTAAAAGGTTAGTGTATGGTCTGTAGACGGAACTGCCGGCCTGAGAGGACGCAGCGCCAGTCCTCCCCCTGAAACGCCATTTAGAGGCGGAAGAGCCAGGGACATTGTTAACGGAGCTTTGCTGGGGCATTCCCAGGTCACACCCAAACTCACAACCAAAACTGACTTCTACCATCAGCTCACAGCTCCCACAGGTGGTCTCCAGTTTGGTTGAAACTACCTGCCAGGCAGGTGAAGGCTGTGTTACTGTGGGCTCCCGTTACCCTCCTGTCTCCAAGCTTCCCCACGCTGAGCACTGGGCCCCGGCTACAGCAATGGGTTCTTCACTGGTGGGAGGCGCGCCCTCTTTCCTGGAAGTAGAGAAGGGAGGTGTGGGGAAGTGAGGGAGGAAAGGACAACCGTCATAACACATACCCCCCGCGGCCTCACGTGGATCCCTTTGGGAAGGACCCGGGAAGCTGAGGGAGGAAGCGATGCCCTCACAGCTCTTCATGTCTGCCTGCTCCTCTGTGCACTCTGGATGGTGTGCCCCGAGTGAGAGGCGGCTGAAGCGCAACCCTTCCCCACACGGATTTTATTGAGGAGACCGTCATAGCTAACTGGCATTTCTCCTCTTCTTCCTAACCTCCAGCCACCAAGTTCGCGGAGAGCATGGGCTTTGTCAATGAGGACCTGTCCACCGATGCCTCTCGAGCGCTTCATTCAGATTGGCTGGCTCGGAACTGCCAGCCGAATTACTGGCGGGTGTGTATGCCTGCGTGTGAACAGGGAACGCTTTCCAAGGGTGGACTGGCCTCCCTTTGCTCCCTGTTGTCTGCCTGTTGCCTGTGGCGATGGTTAGCACCCTGGTTGCACCCTAGAACAGATGGATGAGTTAAGAAGTTGACTCGGGCTGTGTTCCTGAAATCCCCTCGCTGTGCCGAAGGCATGTCCCCAGGAGAGAGCGGAATGGTTGTCAGGCTGGGAAGGTTCCATTACGGGGAGAGGGACCTGCCTCAGCGGGAACCGCTCTGCTTGTATTTCCTTTGCCCAGTGGTTGGCAAACTCATTAGCCAGCAGAGCCAAATACCAACAGGACAACGATTGAAATTTCTCTGGAGAGCCACATTTTTTTTAACTTAAACTCCTCCTAACGCCACTTGTTCAAAATAGACTCGCCCAGGCCGTGGTATTTTGTGGAAGAGCCGCACTCAAAGGGCCAAAGAGCCACCTGTGGCTCGAGAACGCAGTTTGCCGACCACGGCCTTAGAACAACAGTTTCCAAGTCAAAGTTTGGAAACCATTGGTCTAACATATTCCTCAGCTGGTACCCGGTGCAGTTCCCCGGGGTCTCACCCTTGTGGGGCTGGAGGCTGTAGACCTTTAGATGGCTGGTGTGTTCCTAGTGGGGAACTTGATCTTTCCGCTGTGGACCGGGGCCCGGGTCAGGCCGACTTTGCCATTCGGGGTTTTCCTGTGGGCTGTCCAGCAGCTCCTCTGTTTCTTCCCCAAATTCTCACTGCCTGTGAGGTCCCAGGAGCCTCTGGGTTAGTGCTTGAAGAGGCTGCGGTGTGAAACCAGGCCAGGGCAGCCCGGGCGCTCTAATGATGAGACACGAGAAGTACGCTCCTCGCGCCAATGCTGATCCACGTGTTCCACCCACTGCGTGAATTTGGGTTACTTTCTTGAGCCTTTGAGATTCATAAAGGACTCAGAGAGTAAAACTTAGACTTTGCTCACTGGAACCTGGCTTTGGAAAAACAGATGGTTTTAAAGTGGAGTTTGCTTTGAACTGGTAATTCTCCTTTGGCCCCGGGAACCAATCGTGACATTGAGAGGTCAGGCCGCAGACCCAATTCTGTTGAGGATTAATATCGAACACAAAGTCTTCACTTATTTCTGCCGTTATGCTGAGAATTTTAGGCACATGAAGAGAAAAGCCGGGGATCTTTTCCAGACTGAGTAGATTTCCCCCCCACATTGCTTACGTCTGAGACCATGCGGGGCTTAGTAAAATGATATCCATCTGTTCACAGAAGGCTCATTTAATCTCTGGCTTTGAATTCTTATCTTTCACGCACCAGATGTCTCTTTGAGTTCTTGCTAATGTTCGTGATTGTACGCAACTACTTGCCGATTTCTAAAATCACCCTTTCTTTCTGAGAAATGAAACTTAAATCTTGTTTCCAGAATGTTATCCCAGATGCTTCAAAATACTGTGGACCCTACAAGCCACCCGGTGTCTTTCAGCAGGCTGGCTGTGCCTCCGGAGGAACAGGAGCTCACCACGGTCATGACACTATCGGTAATTTGTTCTTAATACTGTTTTTGTGGTTGAAGTTAAGCCGTTTTTCATTTGCCTTTCTGTGGTTCTTTTTCATCCCTATTCATGTGGCAGAAGGTGATTTTGATTGTTTTAACTGGCAAGTTAGACTTAAAGATAGGTTACATACAGCATACTCATCCCCACACACACACACTCACACAGACAGACACACACACACACACACACACACACACACACACGCATTCTTTCCTTAGCATTTCTACACATTTTGTCAAGTTACCTATAGAAGACACCAATATCTAATGACTATTCACTTGTGGCTTTTTAATGCTTATTTCTGTTTAGCTCTTTGATAATTTGATGTTTGCCACAGTCACATGATCTTTCCAGGCTATAATGTTGAAAACTCTCTTAGTTGGTGTTAGTGATTTTCTCTGTTGTGATCTTTGAAAAAGCCTTGACAAGGAACTGAGGATAAGAACATGGGTGTCTACCAACTGGTGCTGTGAAACCAGCTCATTAAAAAGCACACATTATAATAGTTGGTATCATTTGCAGTATTCCCAAATGACCTATTTTCTTCTACCTGAAATTCACGAAAGAGGAAATGTATATAACTAACTGTTCAATTATTTGGTTATATTTGAGGTAAACTTTATAATTGACACCAACAAAGAATTTTTTGTTTTAATTCCAGGCATGATTGCTATCCATAAGTCGGGACACATAGCTGCCGGTACATCTACTAACGGTATAAAATTCAAAATACATGGGTCAGTGTTTCTAAGAGAACGGCTCTCACGATATACCTTGAGTGCAAACCCGTATGTGCTTGCTGCTTTGGGAGGTGCAAAAGCAAAGCCTGGCCCTATCATGGCTGAGATAATCAGCTGTGACAGAGAGGAAATCAGGATCTGCTAAGTGCCAAAGCAGAGGGCGGCCCTGGCCCTGTTGGCTTGAGAGTTGTGAGGGAGGGGGTGAGCTGATTAGGCTGGGTAGTCAGGGAGGCCAGCAGGGAGATGCTGGGAGCTGAGCCTCGGGAAGGGCAGGGGACATCCCAGTCAAGGTACTGACAAGGGTGAAGTCCTTCACTCAGTGCAGGGCTCCCGCTGGCTGGAAGGGGAACAGCGTATGTCCGGGCAGGGGAGGAAGACGAGTCAGATTTCAAGGGTTCTTAAGTCAGTGTGGGATTTCTGGATTTTTTTTTTTTTCGGAGTAATAGAAAAGCACTGTAAGTTTATGGCAAAGAAATACTTTGGTCCAGTCTTGGCACATTAGCTAGAAAGCAGAAATGGGTAGTAGGTGAGGAAAATGAATTTGAACCTGTTGAGGTAATCCAGAAGTTCAGTGACCAACGATGGGAATAATGGAATAGCTGCTATAAGTCTGTGCCATCTTGATAAATAAGCTGGTATCTAATTCTTATAGAATTAGGTTTGAGGAAATCTAAGTTGAAACTTAGGAAAATCCTTTTCTCTGTGTTCTGATGAGGAAATTACAACAGTTACCAGGGCTAAGTGGAAATATCTGCTATTATTGAAACAGCTCATAAGATGATTCCATTTTTCCACTTGATTTCCTGACCTAAATTACTGTGCTGTGTCCTCGCACAGTCGCATCGGAGATTCTCCAATTCCCGGAGCCGGAGCTTACGCTGACGACACCTCGGGGGCCGCCGCGGCCACTGGGGACGGGGACATACTGATGCGCTTCCTGCCCAGGTGGGACCCCGACAGCCTCAGGGGGGAATGTGTCACGGTGGATGGTTTCCTGCCGCCTAACCCGAATGTGTGTTCAGGAGCTTCTGAGGGAGTCTGCTCTAACCCTGTCCCTGTCTGGTTGACGGCGTGGTCACTCACACTGAGTAACCCTGGTCCTCTGGAAATAAGACAGTAATTCACAGAGGAGGGTGCTTACGGTCCATGTAACTGAGGCAAGGCCACTGGGACCGGCGCCGTGGTAGCTGATGGTGAAAGTCAGAAACGCAATCGCGGTGTCTGACCCCTGGGATACAGTCACGAGCAGGAGGTGCTTCGCACAGGCCTCGTGTTTCCCCTATTGACCGGGGCCTGTTGCTTAAAGAGGACCTCTGTCCCTTGTGACCTCTGGCTGCTACTACCAGGTAACAGTTCCTCCAAAATAGCAGCCCCCAAAACCGATGCTCGGATGCATTGACCTGCAGCGTGTCAAGGTCTGCCTGTGTTTCCCACTGCTGCTCCCAGCGCCTGTTCATTTGTCCTGTCAAACTCGGCAGCTTTGATAGTTTCAGAGGCCTCTCTTAAAGTAACTAAGTTTAGAGTTAGTTTAACTTTTGATTCTCAAGTGTTGCCTCTGTTCCACTCAGCTACCAAGCCGTGGAATACATGAGAGGGGGAGAAAGTCCCACCACAGCCTGCCGGAAAGTGATTTCTAGAATCCAGAAGTACTTCCCAAAGTTCTTTGGGGCTGTCATCTGTGCCAACATGACTGGGAGTTATGGTGAGTCGAACTTGGAATTTGTCTGTGTGTGGAACTTGGAAACGTTGAATGAAACCTACCCTTTTGAACATCCGGGTGCATTTTATTCCTCGACGGTGGAAAGGGAGGATGTTGAGTAGGCACTGGGCAAATGTCAGGATCACGGCGTTAGCAGGACACCTGGGCCCCGCTGGGGCCGCTGGGGGCTGCACTGCCTACTTCGCTCTGAGTCCTCTGCCCTCTGCCCTGCGTGCCCTTCTGCTCAGGCCGTGCTGAGCTGGGCGGACAGGTCCGATGCTTTCGTTAACTGGAAGTCGGAAGGGGTAACTTCCCTTCCCTGCTTCTTCCCCATCCATTATTTAAATGTCCCAGACACTTAGATCTTCGGGGGGCGCCACAGTGTGAAATGGAATACTAATTAGCAAGCCAGAGAAGTTGGCGGAGGTATTTCTGTACCAAGCAGGTCCTTTGCTTCATTTAATTTCTGTCGGAGCCCAGTGGCTTTCAAAGCGTTTCAGGATCAGCCGCCTGGCTTCTCATTAGTGCATTTTCTGATGGGGAAGATGCACAGCTGACTGATCAATATGACTTATTGGGTTAGACTGCTTATTACTGTGCTTTGATCTTTTACTTCCCACAGTTCTGTATTTGAAAAACGTGTTTGAAGAATTCCTTACTCTTTTCTTAAGTACTAAGTTACAAAAGTCAATATAACTTATGGGAGGGAAAGGCTTTATGTATAAAATAAGTCAGTTTCATTGATTTCCTCTTAAAAAGTAAACCTTAAAAGGCTCAGAGTTGGATTTAATAGGATGTAAATGATGATTAAATAGTGATGGCTGACTTTAAAACTGTAGGTGATGATTATATAATAGAGGTGAGTCTGGTCCCTTACAGTGAACGTGGTGGCATTAGGAGGGCACCTCCATGTCTGCACAGGTGGGCAGGGCAGCTGGAAGCCACGGCAGTGAGATGGAGAGTGTCTTGACCAACAACTTTGCACTTTCCATGGGATTAGAAGAGCAGGAAAGAGCCGAAACTGGTTTGGCTCAGTGGATAGAGCGTCAGTCTGCGGACTGAAGGGTCCCGGGTTCGATTCTGGTCAAGGGCATGTACCTTGGTTGCAGCCACATCCCCAGTAGGGGGTGTGCAAGAGGCAGCTGATCGATGACTCTCATAGATGTTTCTAACGCTCTATCTCTCTCCCTTCCTCTCTGTAAAAAATCAATAAAATATATTTTAAAGAAGAAGAAGAAGAGCAGGAAAGAACAGGAGCCTGGAGGGGAGGGTTCTGGGTGAAACATGGGCACATGCTAGTGGCTGGGGAATAAAATCTTCAGATGTCCTGAAAAATGCCTTTTCTTGCCAAGGAAAGAACATGAAAACAGTAAATAATAGCAGCAATGGCAACTCTTGTATAGAGGGAAACACAGCCTCTATTCTGAGGTTCAGAGAGACGGCTCACCCACTGGTCTTCCTCAGGGACTGTCCGATCCCGGGCACAGAGGCAGCCGATGCAGCATCCCTCCCCGTGGCCCAGGCGGACAGCAGGCGGTGTCTGTGTCCATGGTGAACAGGACCATCCTATAACCGGGCACTTTCTCTTTCCTCTGCCACAGGTGCTGCTTGCAATAAACTGCCGGCGTTTACTCAGTTTACTTTCATGGTTTCTAATCCTCTCACGGAGCAGCCTGTGGAGGAAAAAGTGGACTGCATCTGAGCCTCTTCTGTGTCGGCATCTGGATTCGGAGGGGAGAGAAGCAGAGGCCGGGAGGTGCTCACCATCACTGCAGAGGCAGCCGCCCGCCCCAAGATCTCTGTGTAAAACCTGCACCACAATAAATGTATGCTGAGCAGCACCTCACTGTCCACGGGTGACACTGCTGTTCTCCGTCTTATGTAAGCTTTGGGTATTGCTGGAAGTGAGTGCACATGTGTGTCCTTTATATGTTTACATTGTAGGTGATATTTGGGTTTGTACTGAGTGGTTTAAGGCCTTGTTACTTTTAGGATTTCCTTCCACTGTGATATCTCAAAGCCCAAAGAAATCCTCTCTCTGTACTTGGAGACTTAAAGTAGCGAGAGTATCCATGTTTTTAGACTCAAAGGAGAAGGTAAGGACGAGGCCAGGCCTGATGAGTCCTGACTGAACTTCAGTGTGCCACAGCCATGGTCTCTCCTCACCGATTCCCAGTTCTGCACACCGCCCCTTGCCCGTCTGAAGCGGACAGGATGCCCTTAGGAATGAAGGTGCTGCTGTTTCGAGTGGGTTAGGAAGTCCAGCTGTCCTCTTTATTTTATTATTTTATTTTATTTTATTTTATTTTATTTTATTGATTTTTTAGAGAGGAAGGGAGAGGGAGAGAGAGTTTGCTGACCACTGCCCTAGTCCACAGATAGGTTAACCAAGTTAAGAGATTCATACAGCATCAACATTGTCACCTGAATGTGTGTATTCACACACAGTGCATGCTGTCTGATTCGGTTCTCGCCTCTCCAGCTCATGCCTTCCAGCGGGAACACTGCTGGCGTACAGAGCGAAGTTGGGCAGCTTAAGTTTGAGCACCATCTCAGCTCAGTTTAGCAGCAACACTTGGGAAAAGGCAGTGACTCTGGTATCAGCAATGTCAAAATGTCTTTATCATCACCTCCAGAGACTAACTGCACTCAAGGGTTGGGGGTTTTTAGCACAATAGGCAGAACGGAAAAACCGTTACCACAAATGATGTAATAAAGAATTCGGTAATTCCACCCTGGCCAGGGGGCTCAGCTAATTGGAGCATCATCCCGTCACCAAGAGGTTTCAGGTTCGATTCCCAGTCAGGGCACATACCCAGGTTGCAGGTTCAGTCCTCAGGCAGGGCTCCTACAGGAGGCAACCGATGGATGTTTCTCCTCTCTCGTCGTCTCTCTCTACCCTCCCCCCTCTCTCTTTGAAAATCAATAAAAACAAATCTTTGGGTGAGGATTAAAAAAAAAGAAGAATTTGGTACATTCATATATTCTTAGTAGTATATATCCCTAGATCAAAAATTTTAATCACTTGACTTGATTTACATGGGGCAGCAATGACTCTGGGGTGGAGTCATATTTGACGATCCAATGTAAGCCATGGCGTCATAACCCTGTTCCTCCAGCAGCTGCGGCTCTGCCTCCCCTGGCCGCGGTGGGACTGCTCTTCCTGGCCCAGGGTTGGGGCAGCCCCACAACTGGCCCTCCTGGGAGTGTTAAGCAGAGTGAAGGGCGTGCAAGCTCCCAGGCTTTCATTTTCTGAGCACGACTCCCACCTGATGTGAACGCCCCATCCACCTGAGAGCCCACGTGACCCTACGAGGGGGCTCCTGACTGCACAGCGGACAGGGGCGGGAAAGAAGCCTGTCAGTGTGAGCACCGGCACAGACTGCCTGTCCCAGTGGATGCACCACATACGGGCAATATTCTACAAGTGGTGAGAAGGTCGTTGGCCTAATGACAGTGAACTCTCTGAAGAACAAAAGGAATTTAAAAAATGGCCAGAGAGACCTAGACAGATAGTGGTTAGGAATTTACCAAAGGCAGTGGTTCTCAACCTTTCTAATGCCGCGACCCTGTAATTCAGCTCCTCATGTTGTGGTGACCCCCAACCATAAAATTATCTCCGTTGCTACTTCATGACTAATTTTGCTACTATTATGAAGCATAATGTAAATATCTGTGTTTTCTGATGGTCTTAAGCAACCCTGCTCATGGTTCTCAACTGTGGGTCCCGACAGATTGATTCTAGTCAAGGACACATGCCCAAGTTGCCTGCTCACTCCCCAGTAAGGAGTAAAGGGGGCATGTGGGAGGCAGCCAATCAATGATTCTCATGGTTGATGTTTCTCTCTCTCCCTCTCCCTCTCTGAAGTGTTATAAATGTTTCTCTCCCTCTCCCTTCCTCTCTGAAGTGTTAAAACTAGTGTTATAAATGACATACATGCAAGCCGTATAAGAACATAATTGGATTTTAAATGACATAAGTAGCATTCTTATATTTAAAGATTGCTGACCTGAAGTTTTTAGAAATATACATGATGTGTTCTGTGTACACATAAACAAAAAAAATGTCTATTTCCAACATCAGCGAGTGATTCCTTCTGTTACAGAAGGCAAATAAAGGGCTATAATGCATTCTTAATTGAGATATTACACACAGACCGTATATACTGTTAAATCCCATAGTTTTTAATTGTTAAACTTCTTCTTAAAGTGTCATTCAATCAGACGCTTGGTGATTGGATTGGGAGCTAAGCACATAATTGAACTCATTTAGTATCTTAATCATTTCATTAAATTCATTTGAAAAAAATGGCAATATAAATATATGTCCTAATTGCGTGCTAATTACAAAGATCAATTAAGACCTATTTATGCCACTTGACTGTTCTTTTTTGCAAAAGATTTCTGGATCCTTTGAAAAAGCTTCTAAAAAGGCATATTTAAAAATGTTTGCTTGTTTTCTTGAGTGTTATGCTATTTATGTTACTCGGAACATTTTCAACCCCTGACGGATGAAGTTAAAAAGAGGAGGTGATTAGGTCCACGAAAAATGCCAGTTTGTTTGCGGGCCCCTGTGCTCCATGAGGGATGGTTCTTGTACAGCCGAGGTCAGCCGTAAGGAAGCGCCATCTCTCAGTATTTGGAGAAAGCTTGCCCATGTGGAGGATAAAATAATTGTCACATTTAACATGGGTGTAATGGAGGCTAACTTCCCACGGTCAACCCATTTGCTTCTGAGTTAGAGGGACAGGAAGCCATCTATAGTTCCCAGGCATGGGCCATGCACTGAAGAATTGGCGACTGAAACTTGTGAACTTTCTGGGCTGTGCACTAGATGTAGTTGCGCATTCATTCCCTTTAATTAAAATTTGCTTTCTGGGGAGTGGATGTTGACACGCCATGTTTTTAGAAAATCATATTAGAGTAAATGTATAAAAGCCATCTCTCCCAATTGCCAGCAATCTATCTCTTCCTAACGTGCGGAACCTTAAGCACCATAAATGTCAAAATACATCCTTCTGTTCCTAAATAAAACCAGCATCATTAGTCTTGCTTTCTTGTTCTGTTCATGGTAATTAAGGCAAATAGAAAATTAAACCAAAGGCAAGTTCAGAATAAAAGCAATATCAGACAATCCAAGTTCCAAGTTCACTCAATTTAGTTCTAATGAGACTATAGTTGTGCTGTATAGAGCCTGCTTTTACCAACAAGGCCAATTGTTAAATTAGTAGTACCTTGATGGTAGCCATGGTGGGAATATTTATGCCTCCCATGTCAGCAACCATTACTAATTAGGGCTTGTTTTTCCTCCTCTAGAGAGTTTCCCAGCACATCATTGTCAAAAAGTGTTTTGAGATATAGTAGATCTCTTTCTCTCTCTCTCTCTCTCTCTCTCTCTCTCTCTCTCTCTCTCTCTCTCTCTTTCTCTCTTCCTATCTCTCTCTCTCTCTCTCTCTCTCTCTCACACACACACACACACACACACACACACATATTTAATTGCTCTGGTAACTTAACTGTTTGGGTTCACACCCTGGCTCTGTCACTTAGCTGTAAGACCTAGAGCAATTAATTCCCCTTCCTTGTGCCTGAGTTTTATCTGCTCTAAAATGGGGATGATGATAATATAGACCTACCTGACAGGATTGGGGTGGGAGAGTTGTCTCAAGTACAAAGGTGTCACACACACAGATTCTGGCTGGTACTGCTCTCTACACTGCAGCAAGAAACTAGACTAGGGTTTCTAAAAGCTCCCAAAAGATCATGCTTGCATGTAGGAAACTAAGATCAGCCTAGTGCCCACCCTCTCATTAACCAAACACTGAGTGCTGGGAAACAGTGAAGCTACCAACCTTCACTTTTCCCCTGGGGGGGAAAAAAGTGATAAAAAATTTTACATTATCAAGCATGAGTAAGAGCTAAAATAATGATCTGCACAAATATGTAAGCTTCACAATGTTACTTTCCATGCATTCTGTCTTAAGAAGACACTTTCTTTGAAATATCTGATATCGTTGACAGTTAAAAATCATGTACAAACACCATGAAAATACTTACCCTCGTTCCCTAGGTTTGGTTCATTTTAGGAAAACGTTGAAGTAGATTGGAGTCCCTCAGGTGCCTTTTGGAGCCGTGTTGGTACAGGAAGAGAGCCACTAGCTGAGGTCATTTAACAAGACTAGAGGCCCATTGCAGAAGAGACTCCTGCAGTAGGCCTTCCTTCCCTTGGCTTCCAGCACTGGTTTTCCTCTGGCACCCGGGACCCAAGCCTTCACTCTGGCCAGAGTCTGCCGTATTCATCTTCCTCTTTGCTATAAACTCCGGAGTTTGCAGTCTTCATCTTCACTGCGGCCGGAGTGCTGCTCCTGTAGATCCCTTCATTCCCGCCCCCCTCATAGCAGGTGTCCTGGAGCAGCTGGATGGCTGCCATCTTTGTCCTAATTTGCATATTCCCTCCTGATTGGCTGGTGGGCGTAGCGGAGTTATGGTTAATTTGCATGTTTCTCTTTTATTAGTGTAGATTCCCTGGCAGTCTATTGCCAATAAGTCCATTGCCTACGCCGTGGAGCATTGTGCAGCCACATCACACAGGCCAATCAGAAGTTCTAGGGCAAATGTAAAATGGGAGGAAAGTATGTCACTGATATATATCACCATGGAGGTATGTATATGAAGAGCAGGAACACGTCATTATCAGATCAC